TACACAGCTACCAAGCTGCTTCCTTAATACACTTGTGCTGCAGATGGGCTTTGTCTGTGCGTGCTTTGGCAGACAAACTTGGCCCTCATTTAGATTTTATATACAATATGAGGTAAATTTGGGGGGGAGCGTTGTTAGGTTTCTTTTTAAGGTACCTTGTTGGCTTGCATTTATAGCTGTCTAATTACTTTTTGTAAGTTATTTACAGTATTTTATATTTGCATTTTTGCTACACTGTGTATTTCTCAAAGACAGAGTGATCAAAAAAGAAACTGTGCAGGCACCACAAGAAGGGGGTCTAACAAAGACCCCTTTGTGCAATTAAACACACTGTGCCATGGCCTTTGCTGTCTCAGGTCTTCAAAACATGGCACAAGTTCTTCTGAGTTCATGTTATGACGTAGGCTGGATGGTGCAAAAAAATCTCTCTTTTCCCAATAGGAAATTGGTTTTTTATTAAAGACATTTCTTGAGTGTATTATCATTACTTTCTACCAGCACTGACTTGGGAGAGCAGTGTTGATTTATTTAAACCTACACAAAATCTTGAAGCAGCTTTTATGCCCCCTTAACTGTGGCTAATGTGACATTCATGGGTCAGAAAGAGAGGAGGGATTTGACCTGCCTGACCAGCTGTGGAGTTGCTGGATCTTCTAGTGAAGTGACCTTGGGCCTCAGCTGAGCTATAGAAACTTTCCATGTGTGTGCGCTCCTAGCCCCAGTGAATGGGAGGTGAAGTGCCTCTGCTTGAGCTACCTCTCTATGGGAGGAGTCAGCCTGGAGGCTGATTGCCTGTCAGTGTTGTAGGGATAAACTAAGGGCAGTATTTTATCCTAAGAATTCACTTTCTGACTCAGCATAGAGATTTCTGTTGCTCCTAGGAGGCAAATGTTTCCTAGACAGACTTCTCTTTCTACTTCTTCTCTTTCTAGAGAAGACTTCTCTTTCTACTTTTTACAACTTTAGCAAGATTTTCCTAAACATACTATGTTTCATCTGAAACTAGTATAAAAGTTCTGGTTTTCCTCTTCCCTCTGTATCTCCCCTTTCCCTTCCATTTTTTCAATCACTAAATGGTCATCATGTATCTTTTCCAACATAACTCACGACAGATTTTTAGAGCTGCCTCTTTGCTGATGCTATCCAAAACCTCAATAATGCACTGAGCAGCTGTTGTTACAGCCCAAGTCACTGCCGTGTTACTGCAGATAGATGCAGGTTAATTATCACTTTAAATGTTTGTCCTGTTATTGTTTGCATTTCTAAAGCATTTCAACAGCTGTAGGACCTTGAGTGACTCCCTTGCCTCTCACACAGTATTTCCTGGGTTCAGCATGTCCTGGTCAGTTTCTCTGGCATCACTGCTAGCTGTGGTGTCCCATGCAGAGTATGAGATGGACTGGGGGGTGATGGCAGCTCTGCACCAGGTGGAAACAATTACAGGAAAAAAACATGGTCTGCGCTGGATGAGTTACTGCTGATAGCTGACAGATAAGCTAACTCAATAAAGTGGTGGCTTAATTAAGCCACATTCCTTGCATCTTGCCTTCCGTCCTGCCTGTCTGAGGCGATGCTATCAAGCAGCTACTGCTTTGGAGGATGGGACAGGGGTGCTGTGCTGGTGCACTGCTGTCTGTGGGGCACTCTGGAAGACCTGTGGGTGATGGGACATGGGGCAGAGCTCCTGGAGAGCTCAGCTCCCTCTCAGTTTACAAGGCGATGGTCCACAAAAGCCTGCAACAAAGGCAGATCTGCTGCTTGCCTAGTCACTGATGTATTTACTGGTATCAAAGGTTTGACCCTAAATCTCATCTTCTGGCATTCAGTGATCCAGATGTATCTTGAACTAGAGCAGAGGGGAGTAGCTCAACATCTTCCTGCTTCTCCTGCAGTTACCTGTCAGTAAAAAAGAGTGACTTTGCTTTGAGGGAGTCCCTGTTGCTATGGATTTTCCTATAGGTAACAGAAAAGCTAGATATTGCCGTGGTGCCCAAAACACTCTGTGAATTTGGGCTTGTGTATGTTTCTGAGTGAAGATAGCATGAAAATCAGAAGTTGCCATAATTTTAATTGCTGAAGTACCCCATTAGCAGCTGTAACAGACAGAAGTTTCTTCTTTTGTAAACCAGATTTAATGTTAATTAATCAATGTAATTTCCCTATAGATTCAGATTTTAGTGGTTGAGATTCTTACACAGCCACGTGTTTGTGTTTCATGCATGCTCACATGTACAGCTGCATAGCAACCACCTCACTGAAAGTTCTTCAGTAGCTAAAATTATCAGTAGGAACCCCCTCTTACCTCTCATTATGTACAGCAAGATTGCTGCTGTGCAACGTTGATTAGACATGTCAACCTGGAGCTGGATGTCTGAAAATGAGTGTTGCTATTAAAATACCTTTGCTAATGCTCATGTGTCCATCAGTTTGACAAATTTCCCTTTAAGAATGTAGAAAGCTAAAGCATGCAGGAATCCCAGGGTTGCAATGTAATGTTCAGAGAAACAGTTATTGTCGTATTGTATTTCCTGTGCATTAACCCTAAATTAACAGTTTCCCTGGCAAAATTGTGCTGATGTCTTAAGCTTGCTGTTGAGTACAGGCTGCACTAATGCAGAGATCTGTAATCTTCCATTGGGAATCGCTTATTATAGGGAATTGGTTTCTGGAGTGTGACCCTGAAAGCAGGGCATCCCTCCTCTAAGTAAGAATTACTTCTGCAAGTGTGATTTAAAACTTTAGTGATGCAGAAAAATCTGCAAGTATTTAGAGAAATTATTTCCAAATATTCTTACCAGTAATTCCAGGGAAAATTCAACAAAAATTGAAAGGGAGACTGAAAACAAGGATATCGTTTCTCTAAAATGCCTCCTCCCACTGTGGAACTCATTGCTGCAAGAAGTCATTGCAGAGACAGATTTCATCAAGGACTAGGATATCTGCTGGGGAGAACATGATTTTCTGGGTGCTTTAAGTGGAGCAAACCCAGAAAAGGCTATACAAGGCTCTGCTTGCCTTGGTGCAGTATCAGGATGTCATGGCAGTGTCTAATGGCTATAACTTGGCATGTGGTGGGTCCTCAGTGTGTGGCTCTGGGATAAGGGTTTGATTAGTACAAGTGGTTTGGCTAGTGGAAGAATCCAATAAAGTAGATAAAACTTCAGTTTAGCCACAAGAAAACTGACAAGTCCAGCCAAAAGCCATTGCTTGCCAACTTGAGAGGAGAGACGCAGCTCCTGCAAGGTTCTAGGCAGGTGAGACCTTACCAAGGAGCAGGATGTATGGCTGCAGTTGCCATCTGCTGCCACAAGTCACTCCCAGGGAGTCCTAAGGATCTTAAGCCTGAAAACAAGTAGAAATTCCATGGAGAAGGGAAGATATTATGGTAGTTCCTGCTCCCTATTTGTGGTTACTTGTGTTTGGCAGAACCCTACAGCTCAGCCCTACAGGTCAGGTCTTGCGGCAGGGGGTGTCCTCCTTTCCTTTCTCATCTCTCAGCCCTCTCAAGTGGGGCTGTATCTTCCTCTGAAGAGCAGCTATGGGCAAGCCTTTATCAACCTCTTTTCTGGAGACAGGAGGAGATGAATGTGCACTTGGAAAGCCATTGGCATGGCTTGCAGCACGTGAACAGCCTCCCCAATGCACCTTTGAACTCATTCCTCCTGCATTTGTTTGTCTTGCAGATAAAACTTCACAGCAGTGTTTGGAGAGAAGTCTAATGAGGGACCACTGTTTGCATAACAAAGCAAGGCTTCCTCTTCAGATGTTCAACCTTCATTAAGCATAATTTATATTCCAGCTAATCTTTGGAAGAGGGTAAAATGTGGAGCCAAAGTTTGTTTTTACATAGTTTGGAGTAAGGCATTATTTCTCTTAAGCAGTCAGTTGCAACTGGTAGTTGATTTAAACTGAACATAATGATGATTTTTGATGGCTGTGTGTTGTCTGAGGGAGTGTTGTGTCATTGACTTACATGGCTTTAGCACTCTTCTGCATCAGTTATTGAATTAAAAGAAAAGACTAAATGGATGGTTTCCCAGTGTTGCAGATATTTTAGCATGTCCACAAGGCATGAAGAACTGTGAAACTCCTCAGACTCCTGTATTCTTGATAAAATAGCACACTGAACAGCAGTTTTCTTCTTTGCAGCAGTGCTGGTAGTCACAAATATGGGACCGTTTGAAGGTCACCAGGTCTCTGCAGCAAGAAGCTCTCAGGGTGATAAAGGACACAGCTGTTTGTAAAGGCTCCTGAGCGTCGCTAGGAGTGCTGGTGACTTAATATAATTTGCTGCCTTGAAAGCAAACCAGCAGGTATCGCTGGATGCCTAAATGTCATTACAGGCCAGTGTGTCAAAACCAGCAATTTCTCAGCACTCAGACTTTGTTCATGTCATAGGCACATAAAAAGTATCTGATCCTATTGACTCTTCACTGGAATTTTGTCCCCCAGCCTATATAAGATACTCTCCCTTGCTCCAGTTGAAATACCCAATATGTTTCACTTACCACCTTCCAGGTGTATTAAAAGATGAGAAATGACTGATAATATTTATCCTGTGTATACTCCTCGCTGAGACTTAACCCTTTCTGCAAGTTTACATTGTAATGATGAATATTTGAAAACACCCTTCACTGTGTCATGCAAATGATGACCTGAGTTGTGTATGTGGATAGCACTGAGGTGTGCTGCCTCCTATCAACAAAAAGAAGCAGGGCTTTTGGGAACTACTTGGCATGTTGGATGGGTCAGTGTTGGGGTACCTGGTCCCAACCTCCTAAGGTGTCTGGACATTCTACCTTTTAAGACCTCTCATGGACTGAGTGGTGGGTTTCCACGTTGCGTTCTTTAATGCTGAGATAGCTCCAACGGCAGAGCTCAGGATCCTCATCTTGCTTGGTTCATCACATCCATGATCTACCTATGACTGTTTCTAAAGGCAGCATCAACCTTTAGAGAATACATTTATTTATTAATTTATTTATTTTATTGTTTTTCAGGAAAAAGTGCTGTAAGGGTTATAAGTTTGTTCTTGGACAGTGCATCCCTGAAGGTATGTGATTTCACTGTTCTTTACCCATCATGTCTCCATGCATTTGTCTTTCCCCATTTGCCCCATTCTCCACATTGCTGGCTTGGAGGAGCAACCTGATATAACCACAGGCTCAGCCACATCTCAAGTGTTGGTGTGGAGTGAGGGAGCAGTTTCCAAGAAATTGCTGGGAAAATGAAAAGATCAGCATCTTCCAAAAGTTTTGCTTAGCATGCCAAGCCTTGATCCTACCCTAAGTACACATGGCTGCACAGATCTTGTGCCATGACCTGCTGCAAACAGAGGGACACATTCTGCTTTTGTATGGGTATGTGAGAGTGCTCCTTGCACCCAGGAGCATGGATTTCCTGGATGATGGCTTTCCCCATTTATCCCTTGGATCTGGTACAGCTGATTTGGCTGCACAGGGAGCAGATGACTAGGTGAGTTGGTCCTGCCTTTAGCTACCTATCTCCTGGAGACAACAGAGTGGGGAGAGCATCGTCAAACAGAGTGTCTCTTCTGCCACCTCTCCTGGGTCTGAGGAAGATGCAGATTTACACAGGATAGTTCATGCAGTAGTCAAACGGGAACTGATTTGGATAAAATTGGCTCTGAAGTTACAGGAGCAGAGGAACTGTCAGGCAGGAGCAAATGTACAGAGACAGCAAGCCAATAAACCTTGTCTGCTCCTAAAAGCAGGTTTAAAAGTTAGTTTATAGCAACACATCCTTCCATTTGATGACATATGGAAAGCCTTGAGTTGACCTGAGAACTTTTCCAGTTTAGGATGGTGATGTTTTGGAAAAAAAAAGTGACAAATTGACATGCTGGAGAGAGTCAGCTGGTTTTTGATTTACAGTGTCCAGCCAACAGGGATTATAAACCAAACTCTAATCCTGCTGCTTTTTTGGGGGTTTGTTTGCTTTGTTTGGTTTTTTTAAAAAAATTTATGTCTTCTTTGTTGAGAAAAAAAAAAATATTATATAAAAAAAAAAAAAAAAAAAAAAAAAAAAAAAAAAAAAACCACGGCAAAACCCCCCACATCTTCTCAAAACAAGATTCCTGTATTTGCTGCTTCCTTATGATGAAATAGCTTGGGGTGCCAGCCTGAGCCCCGGGAGCTGGGTAGGGTTGGAGTGAAATCAATGTGTTCCTCATCCCACAGTTTTGCGGTGAGTTTTGTCTCACTGCGTGTGGCACAAGATGACAGCTCCAGTGTGAGAGGGACACTTGGAGGAGGCAGTTGTGTGTGTTGAAGGCAGAAGCCCTGAATCTTTTTCAGGTGGAAAAAAGCCAGGACTCTACAGTCTGGCCTCCAGCTCTCCTATGGATTTAACAATTTAATGTACTGGTTATTCACTAAATATAATGGTTACAGCAGAGTGCAGCAGGATACAACAGTAATAGGAGCAGAAATAAAATAAGAGCCATGGCAAGATATTATTTTGATTTCTAATTTCCATCTCTTGAGATTTTAGGTGATTATGAAAGCAGCTTTTACTGTGTACCCACTGACTTCACTTAATCCTGTCTGTTAACTGCATCTCAGTAACCTGAGAGTTTCTGCCACTAATTCAATTCTCTGCTGGCTGTGGCTTCTCTCCCTTTGTTTCTACATTCTCCCTTTTTCAGCTCTATCTGTATTTTGCCTTGAACTTCGGAGGTCACAGCAGTTGCCATAACATCTGAGACAGTCTTGGGCCATTAGTATAGGGACAAGATACATCATTCACTGAGGTACTCATTTCGCTTAGTCTGTTACAAGACAACACTTGGGACTTCACACATTGTTTTGGCATAATCTTGACAGAGTAGCTGTATGAAATTCATATCTCGACACAGGCACATAAATGCACTGCAGATGTGAGTTTATTAGAGCACATCTGCACCTTTTAATCCAGTACTGGCATGTTGAAACTGTGAGAAGTAGTTCCAGCCCTGTCTTCTCTGTGATTTAGCAGTGGCTGCAGGAAGGAGGGTTGGCAGAGGGATAGACTCTCCCTTGCCCACCCTTTTACAGCTACCTTGGGAAGACACCAATCTCCTTCTGGTGGAGCTGTTATTTAAACAGGCTCCTAAAGGGTCTTGTCTTTCCCCATGTCCATTATTGGTTTCTGTCTTGTTGTTTCTCATCTGCCCATGAAAAGGAACAGAAATCAGAGCAGTCCAGTATGAGTCAGTCCACGCCCCCAGGTTCTACATTTCTTTTGTTTTGTACTCACCTTCTTGCTCTGGCTTTCAGCTGCAGGAGCAGGAAGCAGTGATCCTCAGGAAACATCGAGGAGACTTACCTGTGTGTCTGGTTCTCCCTGTAGCACTTCTTCCTGCTCCACCTGATCAGCAAAGCAGGTCAAAAAACAACTCCTCACCTTTTTTTCCTGCATGCTCTCCTTCTTCTTTGCTTAGGAGATTCACAGCTCCAACCAGGCCTGTCTCAGGTCCTGTCTCATGGCTTCATAGAGTGAAGAAGGGATAGATGTAGTATGAAACAGCTTTTTTTGGAAAGCAACCTCCCTACCACTGGTTTGTTACCTGAGTTTCTTGGCTGTGGATTAATTCAGAGCAAAATATTCTATTACCGGCAAACTCTAGTCAGATATGTTCACTAATGTTCTTCCAGAAATTTCCTTGGTACAACTTTCCATACTGTGTTGTCACTTCCGAGTTCATTGAAATATACATAGAGACATTTGTTATTCTGCTTTGGTTTTTGCATTTTCCTAAAGTCCGGAACAGCCTGATCCTCACCGTGTGGTTTTGATTCATCCTCAAACCACATTTCTTAGGCTGGGCTGGCAAACAAGGGGTTCGAATGTGGAAAGGCATGTGCATCCTAGTTCTGCAGAGCACACAGAGGTGGTGCAGCAGTTTTTGCCTAATTTTATCCCAGTTGTGAGGACTGTTTCTAGGGGAGTTATGCTACCTGGGACCAAAGCCCTGGAGATGCACAGCTCTGTGACATGAGACCTGCCCACAACCATCGTGTGATCTGTGTGGGACCACCAGCAGGGATCTTCCTATGTCCTGGACACTTCCGCAGCTTTCTATGAAAGTAACTGAGGCAATGGTCACGATGGAGATGTGCTGACATGGAAGTGAAAACCATATTTTAAAGGCTTTTACCATGGAATATGGTGAAAGAGAGACACATAAAAAGAATCGGCATTGTTTAGTCTAGAGAAAAGGAGGCTGAGGGGAGCCATGATAACAGTTTTTAGGTATGTGAAAACTTGCTGCAAGGGGGAAAGTAAACTGTTGTTTATGGCCAAGAAGAAGAGGACAAAAATAATGGGTCTAAGTGGCCATGAGGGAAGTTTGGATTAGATATGAGTAAAAAGCTTTCTGTCTGCAAGGATATTTCATCTTGCTCATAGACTACCTGGTGGGTAGTCCCCTCAGGGAAAAAGAAAACTAAGAAGTTTACACATAGCTAATCCTGATTCTAGTGGGAGATTGTCGCTTCCAGCACTGGTTTTTATGGTTTTGTTAGGGCACATCTATTCTTGGAAACATAGGAAAGCCAGAGCTCGTTTTACCTTCACTCCAAATAGCTGAACATGGCATGAGCCAAATGCAGCATGTGCGTGGGTAAGCTGGCTGAGGAGCAGGAGTGTTCACCTCCGTGCTGGGCATATTAGCCTGTTCTCACTCTGATTTTATTTCAGTGGAAAATGAAAATTGCAACTGTGCCCAGGAAAAGCATCAGCAATACTTCATATTTGAGACTATTTAGTATATTTAGTATATATGCCAAATGTAACAGGAGTTTACAGCCTCAGCATCACCTAAAAAGTACAAACTAGCCCCCAGACTGACCACTTTGAAGGTAAGGGCCATGTTTTCTTTCCATGGCTCTGCACCGTTTGGCCTTGGCTACTGCTGGGAATCTTGGCACTGCCACTCACCACCATAGCACTGCAAGCAGACTTGAAGAGTTAAAGTCAACACAGTTGTGAAGTAAGAAGGAAAGAAAGGATGCCTGCTATTCAAAAGGTGACTAGCAGAAGGGAGGAAATGCTTGGCACCATTACAATAGTATGTTTTTGTCTAAGGGACTCTGGTGTGAGATACAGCAGCTTGTTAAGTCTCATTTGGTGCTTTTCTGTGCCTTGGCATATTGTCACTTTTAACACCAGTGCTACATATGTCCTCTATATACCCCACAGAGAAAATTGGTTTCATTTGCTTTACCATCTATTAGCTCATTTTAATTGTTTGGAACAATCATTGTACCCAGCATGTCTGCTAGTCATTAGGGTGAGTCAATAATGAGTTTGGGTTTTAATTATTTTATACTGTGTATATGGAAACAGTGCATTGCTGGGAACTCGGTTGAACCACTTAGGTTTGGTGTAGACCTGTTTGGTCTGGAGCACAGATGGGATATTTCTGCTGTGGCCCCCAGTACCCAGTCCCTGGAGGGTCACATACACATGGGTGCTCTGTGCAGGATGATGTTCCCTGAAATGATCACAGAAACTGACATTTGCTTTGGTGTAAAACCTGTCCTTCAGCAGGGTGTTCCTGAGCTGGTTTTGAGACCAAATGCTGCTTCAGCTCTTGGCTTTGCAAGGCAGATGTTCCCCAGGCACTGCAAAGCCCTTGCACCTGTGGCCAGGGGCTGCCCTTCTCCCATCAGTCCTGCTACAGCATGATGCTAGGGACCAAATCTAACCCCTGGTAGAGCAATTCTGCTAGTCATTAGGGTGAGTCAATAATGAGTTTGGGTTTTAATTATTTTATACTGTGTATATGGAAACAGTGCATTGCTGGGAACTCGGTTGAACCACTTAGGTTTGGTGTAGACCTGTTTGGTCTGGAGCACAGATGGGATATTTCTGCTGTGGCCCCCAGTACCCAGTCCCTGGAGGGTCACATACACATGGGTGCTCTGTGCAGGATGATGTTCCCTGAAATGATCACAGAAACTGACATTTGCTTTGGTGTAAAACCTGTCCTTCAGCAGGGTGTTCCTGAGCTGGTTTTGAGACCAAATGCTGCTTCAGCTCTTGGCTTTGCAAGGCAGATGTTCCCCAGGCACTGCAAAGCCCTTGCACCTGTGGCCAGGGGCTGCCCTTCTCCCATCAGTCCTGCTACAGCATGATGCTAGGGACCAAATCTAACCCCTGGTAGAGCAAGGACGCAGGTCAGACAATGTTGTGCTCTGGTGCCTATTCCCCAGACTTCAGCCCTGCTGCTACATAGCAGAAATCAGAAACACATTCACTCTCCTTCAGGTTTCAAACAGGGACTTCAGTCTTGGGATCTCACTGACAAGCCGGGCCAGTGATTTCACCATACCCTAATCTGCACTCTGCTGTTATTAAGGGTGATGATGGGTTTGTAACAATGCATTCTTTGCTGAGTGGGTTATATCTGTCTTTGAATAATTACTGTGTGATTTTAATTAACTTTTCCTTATTATATACTTTCTGCCTGGATTTGGCAGTTGGCCTCACGGTGTTTCACAGTATTCTGCATATCAGCACTTAAAAATCTGTGGAAGAAAACTGCAAAAAACCATTTTAGGCAATTTAATATTTCTGTGAAAAGAATTCTTAAATTCTGCAATCTGCAAAAGTGACCCTTAATATCCAACTTGAAGAAATAGTCTAACTACTGTAAAGCTGTGATTAGAAATTACAATTTTGCTACAATTCTGTGCTTGTGTCTCATGAATATTTTATATTCAGGTTATTTCAGTCTTACAAGAAATGTAACTCAACTTTATTATTTAGTAGATAGGCGAAATACTTGTTCTCAAAGCATCATCCCGCTACAGCCATTGGTAGTTTTCCTAACCATATTTTTCTCTCTCTAGACTATGATGTCTGTGCTGAAGCTCCTTGTGAACAGCAGTGCACAGATAACTTTGGGCGAGTCTTATGCACTTGCTATCCTGGGTACCGCTATGATCGGGAGAGGCACAGGAACAGAGAGAAGCCTTATTGCCTGGGTGGGTAGAAGTGTATATTGCACTCATCCCTGGTTAGTGATGTATCCTGCTCCACTGGGTATTCTAGGAGTCAGTTTAGATCTGAAACCTTTTGTATTTTCACTATTCTTACAGAAAAAAATATCATTTTAAACTACGTTAAGGGTTGGTTATCAGAATTAAGAGACCTAGATTTCCCTAGGAGGTATCACTTACTGCAAGGCATCCAGACACTTTGAAGCATTGGGCTGATGTCATTTTTCATTAGTTCCTCCTGCAGGTTGGGAGCTATATTTATGGAATATTGAAGCGTTATAACCAGGCCTATTTATCACAGAAACATAGAATCATAGAATGTTAAGGGGTTGGAAGGGAATTTATGGATCATCTAGTCCAGTTCCGCCCCCTACCCCCACCGTGGGCACAAATATCTCCCACCAGAGCAGGTTGCTCAAGGCCTTATCCAACCTGGCCTTGAACAATGCTAGGGTTGGGGAATCCACAACCTCCCTGGGCAACCTGTTCTAGTGTCTTATCACCTTCATAGTAAAGCTTTTCTTCCTAATATGTAACCTAAATTTTTCCTCTTTCAATTTGTACCCATTACTCTTTGTCCTATCACTGCAGTGCCTAATGAAGAGTCTGTCTCCAGCTACAGTAGGTACTACAGTAGGTACTACAGTACCTAATGAAGAGTTCCTCTCCAGCTCCCCTGTAGGGCCCTTCAGATACTGGAAGATTGCTATGAGGTCTTGACAAAACCTTCTCTTCTCCAGGCTGAACAGCTCAAATTTTCTCAGCCTGTCTTCACTGAGGAGGTGCTCCAATCCTCTTAGCAATTTTGTGGCCTCTTCTGGACTTGCTCCAGCAGTTCCATGTCCTTCTTATGTTGAGGGCACCAGAACTGTTCACAGTGCTTACTCCAGGTGGGGTCTCAGAAGAGCAGAGGTTTGATTCAGATGGTCAGTATCTAATTCAGGGCTGATCATTTACGTGTGGCCCTTGTGTGGCTAGTGCTGCTCTGCCCTGTGTGGTTTGCAGAGCCAGGTAGCCAAGGTTTGCAGGGCTGAGCTTTGCAATGCAAAGAAATAGTCAAGTAGGTGTATTAGTAATAATAGTGCAGGTTGTACAGAGCTCTAGCCCAAAGCACCAGTGGTGCTGCAATTGCTCATTTAGTTAACCACAAAAACCTCTTGATACCTTTAAAGGAAGTCTTTTACTGTATTTGAGGTCTGAAACCTCCAGTTATAGAACATTTTTAGCTTTTGCTTTTCTCCAGATATCGATGAGTGTGCCACAAGCAATGGGACATTGTGCTCTCAGATCTGTGTCAACACCATGGGCAGCTACAGGTGTGAGTGCCATGAAGGTTATATCCGGGAGGAGGATGGCAAGACATGCACCAAAGGAGATAAAGGTATGTGCTAATGTAGGTTAAATATCCTGGGCCAAAGGGCCATCTAAAGGGTTGATCTGTCTTGAAGAGGAACTGGTCCCTACACTACACTTGGAGCTGGGGGTCCAGAGCTGGGATGTAGCTGATGCTCCTAGAGCACACGGGCTGTTCTCTGGGCACTTGAGCACCTATGGAGCAGTCCTGTCACATGCTTTCCTCCAATGCACAAGTACATTGAAGAATGTGGAAAGCATCTTCCCTTGGAGAAGGAGAATGGCTGAAGAGTGAAACTTGCTATTACAACCTCGGTTAGACCATTTTTGCTGGATCCAACTCCTAAAAGTTGTATTTTGCTCCCATACCAACCGGGATTATACCTATTTTGTGGTCCAGAGCTCAGAAGACACAGAAAAAAAACATAGTACCAGATGATGACCCTTATAAACCTTCATTAATTTCACCTGTTAATGAAATAATTTTAGTAACTTTAATTTGTATTTAGATGCCTAAAACTGAGATTGGAAAATAGCCCTGGTTGTGTGGTTAGTGCTCCTTGGCACCTAGAGGCTCAGAAAAGGTATGCCTAGGAGTCCAACACATTTTCCAAGCATTGCTCAAATTAATTTCTAAATTGCGTAGAGTAACACTGAATTTTGCTGGCCTGCACTTAGGTCCTGTGTCTTATGGCTGTGGTCAGACTTTTTTTTATTTTTATTTTTAATGAAAGTAAAATGTGGTGGGAAAGGGGTAAGAGCGAGTGCTTGTTCTTACATTTCACTGTTGGTTTCAAAGTATACACGTGTGCTGTGTATCAATGATTTTAAAGGTTTTGACCTCATCCCATTTATTAGATTACAGCACGTAGAGTACTGCAGGTTAAATACTGATATGAAAATTTAAAAAGAAAGGAGGAAGTGAACACCCTGTGCTCTGGGGGGGAAAAACCCTTCTTTTGATTAATGGTGACTTACCATGGTTCATCAATTAATGCCTGAACATGGTATCATAGGGTGCTCCAAATCCCACTGGATGGCCAAAGCAATTTATAATTTTGATTCTCCTCTGAAAATGTGTAACTGGAGCCACTCCATTAACTTTAAATGTTCCTTGTAGTTTTCAATTGGTTTTTTCCTTCTAAGTGTGTGTGTGTGTGTCATAAAGGAAAGAGATTTAACCTATATAATCCCCTTACAAATAATTATTTTAGTTCACTTTTCCTCTGGGTAGTTCAAATTTCCTGATAGAGTAATGTCCAAAGCATTCAGGGTAACCAACCATTCAAAATATTGAAGGCTGTATAAATAATCCTAATATTTGAAAAACACTTTTTTTACACTGAATATGCATGGTACATGAAAATGTCAGTTCCAGTAATTAATCTGGAACAAAATATCCACCATCTCTTGATCCATTGCCCGAACCAGGTGTGAGAAGCAGCTCAGTTACCCCTCTGTACTCCACGTTAGTGTTACTAATTTTGAGACCTCTGGTGGAAATGACAGAGGAGTTGGCCAACGCTGGTTCGCAGAGCTCCCTCCAAAGAAAAGAGTTTTGTGAGGAACCAGCTGTAGCGATGCACCACCGTGTGGTCAGCCCCAGCCCTGCACCGCATCCGCGCCCGAACGGCTTCCTAGTGCACAGATGATTTTCTTTTCATGGTAGCCAGAACACTTAAAGTTTATTTTAAAATTTAGTGTGACAGACAAAAACGCATGTACCCCTCTCCGTCTCTAACCTTGTTGCATGTTTTGTGGGAGATCATATTCATGTTTCCTTTGTTCCATGCCTGAAGGCCACAATTTGGATGGTTTTTTTGGCTCTGTAAGTGGGATTGACTGAGAGCTTTGTGTTAGTGGACACAAAAATAGGGAGCATTTTTCCTGCATCCACAGTCATGTTGCATTTGACGGAGACAATACAGCTATCTGGGCAGAAGCAGGCAAATGAAACCATCTCAGCAGGCTAAGCCCGGATAATACAACACAGATGAACATCTCAACAGCCTCCATGCAAAGACCACCCGCAGCAGAGCTCCCGCAGAGCTCTCTCCTGCCAGCATCTCCTTCTTTTCCAGCATCAGCAAGGCAGAGTGTCCAGGCACATACTAAGAAAACACAACACTCTCCCACTCTTAGCAATAGGTGCCACAGGGCTCACCTGTGTCTCACCAAGATGAAAGGACCCCCATCCGGACAGCAATGTCATGCATGAGCTAGACTTCATATTTTGGAAAACCTTCATAAAATGGGGCTGGTTTAAACCTTCTCCAACATAATTTTAGCTTCCTAGTGGAGGTCTGCAATGGAAACAAGCTATGTCAGTGCCTTCCTCAGTGCTGTCCAAACTGACCCTGGTAGATGACCTCTGTTTCTACATCATGTGTGAGTGGTTCCATCTAATGGCTTTCTACCCACTCTGGCCTATCCTAAGTGGCTTCTCGCTTTATGCGTGCTTTAATCTGGCTTTACTCATAGTTTGGTCCTGATACAGGATTGGACGGAGGTAGAGCAAATGTTTGATGGATGACTCCTTCCTTGGACAAATCATCACCTCTGTCTGGTATGAGTTAGGGGGATTCCATCTCTCTCCCGGGATGCAGTTCATACTTGCTTATATAAGGATGTTGGACTTCTTCCTCCAACAAGTCAATCCAACTGGATTTGCAGAAATCTCACTGGTATGATATTTCCCAAACATTAGCTGATCCCCCAGCACTCATCTCCATGGATTGTTACAGCCCTGTTTTATCTGTACTTGTCAGCCCCGTGTGCCACATCCTTCTGGAAAATAAACTGGATTTTATAATGAAACACGAGGCCAAATTCACCACTTTTTAATCTGCAAGTAATTCCACTGATTCTAGTGGGATTACATTAGGTTTCAGATAGCAGAGACTCTGGCAGTTTCTCTCTATGACAGTGTGTTGCTTTCAGCAACATTTCTTAACACAGCATGACAGAACTCATTTGCTGAGATAGCTATTAAAAGAAATTTTAGTTGAGATTAGTACCAAACCCAAACTTTACTGGTGTTTGACAAAGGGAAAAAAAAGGGCATTTTTCCCTAATGGTTCTATATATGTGCATCTGTAAATCCTACATAGGTCCAAAAATGGACATGTGAAGACAATGTGGGGGGGTTTTAAAGGAAGGTGAAAAATTAGAGAGGGAGACAGAACTCCACAATACTGACTTGTGGTCAAGACAAAATGTATTTTATAGAAATGTCAAGAGGTGTCTTGATTACAGCACATCGATTCCTTGTTAAAGAAAAAAAAAAGCCCTGCATGGTGCAGGCTCTTTAATCTACCAGAGAAAGACTTATGGGCAAAGAGGCTTTGAAAGCAGTCAAAGGCAAAACAATTAGCATTAGGAATACAGCAGAGAGGAAGGAAAGCAGAAAATGCTGTGTATTTAGATCTTCACACAAAGGGTAGAGGTCCTCTAAGAGGTCTTGTGGTCAAATAGTCTTGGATCCAGCATAGCTGTGATTTGGTGAAACTCCATTCTATGCTATGTAGAGTTCATTGGAAAACATCAAGTAGTACCTTCTGTCCTGAAATCTTTGAGCCATCTGAACACTTCACAGAAAGTTGTTCATGTACCAAGCCTGTGCTATCAGAAAGGGCTGGGAAGCTCAAACAGCAGTGTGCGCTTGCTGCCCTAAAACCAGTAAATGGTATGTGTAATATTGTAATGCCACTGTAGAGCAGCTGTGGGAACAAGCAGTTGATGAGTGGGGAAAAACCCCAAGCCTTTGTCTCCTCATGTTCTGATCAGTTTAGTATTAATACCAGCCTTAATGCTTTGGTCATTCCAGCATCCTCCCCTTACAGCCCCCTCCTACTTGATCAAGGGATAAGAGAAATAAATCTTTGTCTTTTAAAAGCAAGCATGCCTGATGTGTCATTATATCCAATGGACTAAATGTACTGAAAATCAGGTTTTCCAAATTTGTGCATAGGTGGTCCACAGATGACCATCAGGTGGATGCAATATTCCTTATTGGACCCTGCAAACATTTAAGGCCAATTACCATATAACATCTTTAGTACTAGAAACTTCTGGTTTTATTTTAAAATATGCAAATATTTTCAAAACCAATAAACATTTAAGGCCATAAAAGTGTGTGTCCAAGTGAGAAGTATAACACAATAGTTAAGTGGATCACAGTTGATCCTTTTGGAAGATTTTTAAGTTTTCCTGACTTTAACCAGGAGCACTTGCAGAGTTTTTCCATTGCAGGATGTGGTCTGAAAGGCCAGTGTTCAAGTGTGCTCAATAAACCTTCCAGTACCATCATACAAGGCCACACATCATATGCAGAACCTCAATACATTTGATGCTTCTTAGCAACTGTATGTGGAAGGGGAAAAGCTCACCTAAAGTTTTCCAGTGTGTGTCACCCTGTGGTTTGGAAGGCAGATTTCTCTTTAAGCTGACATCTGTTATAACAATGCTTGTTTGTTTGCAAGACAGAAGTGCTTGGCTGTGTATGGGACTGGGAAAGGACAGAAATAACTTTTGCAATATCCCTTACAGTTTGAATCATTTAGTGGATTCTTGAATAGATCCCATTCATGCATAGTATCAACAGATGTGACCCTTTCTCTTGTGTGGATTTAAATCCCTGTCATTAATCTCAATCCCCATCTCTGCTCGGGCTGATTCCATCGCATGGAGAATAACCTGCAACGATAAAGAGCAGTTTGTACAAAGTGAACGAAATAGCTATATTGTGAGGGATTTTACTGTAATATATAGCATATGAAAATTTGCCCTTCGGGAGACAGTAAATTGATTCAGATCTATGGGGTTAGTCTACCCTAAACACAAAGATAAAAGAAGGGGTGTGAACATTTCCAGGTATTAAGAAAATGAATTCTTGAGGGACTCTTAAGTGGAAACAGCTGCTTTAAAAATGAGCTCAGAGGGGTCCTTGTGAAGTTTCTCAGCCTTACACAGAAATTCACAATCAACGCTTTAATAATGGCAAGATTCTCTTCTCTTTTCACAGTCTGGGGAAATGTAACAACCTTCAAGTTGCTTCTGCAGTGATTTTATGAATTTCTTTCCTCTGGATCTTTATATTTATGTTGGAAGCTGCTTTCTTTCAGCTGGGCTTCCTGAGAAATCTGAAAATGTGGCGAAACCAGGGACATGCTGTGCCTCTTGTAAGGAATTTCATCAAATAAAGCAGACGGTTTTACAGCTGAAGCAAAAGGTATGAACACCGATTAGCCGTGTCTTTACCAGACCTGCATGTTTCACAACAACTGAGGTTAAATATAAGAGATTGGAGCTGTCACTTCCATGTATTTCTTGTACTCGTAAAGAGAATGGCAATATATTTTAAAATCATATAAGAATGCTTCCTCATGCTTCTGTATGTCTTGTAAGCAAATTGCTACCCAAGCTTGTGGCACTGTGTTACCAAGTTTGTGCTAACAGAGTCTGGCAAACACCCATCCCAGGCTCAGCCCAGGTTTCTTGGCAATCTGTGCTGGCCTCAGCTTTTCATTCACTCTGAATGCACGGGATTTTGGACTTGATCCACCTTCAGAGTAAGCAAGTGCAAGACATTCCACAGATGCGGGAACATGATTTTGCATTAATAGGGTGCTGATACAGGATTCTTTCCAAGTAGGAGTTGCAGCTAAACAAAAACATCACTAGCTTTTGATACTTTTTCAAAAGAAAAACGCTCAGTCCCAAACCTTTTTGTTTTCACCCATGTCCTTACAAGTAGAGAATAATACATTTAGAAACTTTCTCTGGCTTTTAATTGCTCATATATGTAGCCTCATTGTGCACTTGAAAGGATTGAAATAACTCGAAGACTCAGCCTCAGATTTGGAGAACCAAGTGGAGGAATGCAGATGTAATGCCTTTTCTGGTGACATCTCCTTTGACGGTTCAGGTTCTCTCAGATTGAAACATTCTGCAGGAATATTCTCAGCAATTCATGCTGACAGGCTGTAATTATCTCACCCAGGGTGCTAATTTAATTTCATTGTGTCAAAACACAATTTGGGGTATTCACTTGTTGCATTTAATGTCACTCATTCACTATTAGGAAGAAAGAAATCTGCTTCATGAAAATGAAAGCCACTGAGGTTAGAGAGATACTCTTTATCTCAAAAATATCAAAACATCATGTTTTTCTTCTGAATCAGTATGAAGACAAACATAGAAGTGACATAATTTCATGCATGATGGAAATGTTTCAGACAAATGGTGGCAGAGAGGTCAAAAAGGATCCATGCTTTTGAGTGGCTGTTTCTCCAGCCATCGTCAATGATGCTGAGCAGGCTCACATCCCTGACTTCCAGGGAGGGATCTGGGATCACACTGTTGGCCACATCGTTTGCTGCAAGAATTGATCGATTGAATTAATTGAAAATTTTCTGTTTAAAACTTCCCCTGTTCAATGCCTGTGTTCAAAACTCACTCCTGGAAAACTCAGACCATCAATACCTGTCACAGTGGGCACTTGTAGTAGCTGTGGCCAAACTAAGCAGCTCACTCTTGCCTCATAGCTAAGTCCTGTCATAGTCCATAGCTTAATTTTTCCCCCAGTACCTTTCTAGTGGGGCTTGATGTATTTGGCATCCTCAGAGGGAGCCCAGTGGGTTGTGCCATACACAGACAGAGCTGGAAGAGAAGGTGCCCAATACCCTCAGCAATTTTTACCACACACTGAGGAGAGCTTTAGTCCATACTGAGAGAAGATCTGGCCCCATGCTGCTTCTCTGCCCAGGGAGACCTGAACCCTTGTGTTTCACCAGCTGCTCCCTGTGGCCAAGTTCTTCTGGGGAGAACATCTCTCAGTATCTGTGGTTGAAGCTGTTCTGTTTTGCACAGAAAAATTCATTTCTGTTTGCCAGGAAGACAGTTTAAGGAATGAGTCTTCAGTCTTGTGGTTAAGGCTTTCAGATTCTACAAACTTTTTTCAAAATTGTGTTGAGCAGAAAAGCCTGTCATCCAGTGAGATTCACTGCCCTGATACAATATAGGGCTGTAGGCAGTCCTAAGTTGATCTCAGACCTGGATGGGAGGACGAAGAGTGGAAAACTGAAAAATGAAGAAAGATATCTGACATGCTGACACACAGCCATTTTTTTAATAAGTGAAGTAAGCTGGATCCTATTGCACAGATGTGTTTAAACATCTTAATTAGAAAGCCCTGTTCCACATCACTCCTGACAAGCACTGTCAAATTTGTCTAAACGACAGATCTCCTAGAAACTACTCAAAACTCCAGATGCATCATGCAACACAACATATGGAAGTCTTGTTTCTTGAACTGTCTTTCTTTAAAACTTACCCTTGCTAATATTTGCAAGCACATGGAGAAAAAAAAAGTTATTTTCCAAGGGCCATTAAGATTTGGAGCTATGGATGAAGAAAGCCAAGGTCACCCTGGACCAGGATCCTGGTCCAGTTAAAAGGTGAAACAGAAATTAGGCCAGTGAGTATAGCCAGTCCCTAAGAGGACGTGAGTCAACATCAAAAACACATGGTTTGGCCCCATTGCATGTAACAACCATTTTCTGGCCAGAAGATATCAAAGAGCAGTGAGCTAGACCAGAGCCTGGGTGTTTTGGCACTCCTAGTGTATGCCTCAAGTCCAGCTGACTCAGTGGGGAAACATGTGTAGATGCTTTTGCAGCAGCTATGTGATTATTTTTTTATCTTAGTTGTTACAATAGCCTTACTGGCAGGAACAAGTCAATACTTAAGCAACAGAAAAGAATACACTTCCAAATCCTCTTCATGATGAGTCTTCACCACTAAATGCACCTTTTTACTCCAGCCTGGACATTTGCAATAGAACTTGAAGAGTATTCATGGCAGGGTCTATGTACTAAGTCACATCTATTTATCAGCTCGGACAGCAATAGATCCCCAGAATGAAATCTGTTGAGAAATTTAAGTACAAGCTAAAAAGAGAACTTCAATTAATCTGTCACTCAACTGTGGCCACCCCTAAGGAGAAATACTCACTTATGACACTGGAAATATTCTCACAAAAACTGCCTGAAAAATATAATGCTCACAGGTAGTCATAGGATTTAACTCTCTCTCAATTTTAGCATTAGCACTGCAAAGCCCTTAGTTGATTTTTGTCGTGTAGCAGAAGTTTTACAGCATGATAGTCCTTGCAACCCTTCCATTTGTAGCCAGTCAGGAACCTGCTCTGGAAAACAAAACTTTGCAGACCAGAGCCAGCTACTGGACCTCCATGTGCTGGTCCCTGGCCAGTGTGGCTATGAGAGCCCTCAGCTACTGAATTTTCCTCTTTAGCCCCAGGTGTAGGATGGTCACCCATGGAGCAACCTTCATCTTCAGTAGCCTCATGCTGCAGTCTGTGCTGCAATGGCTGGGATGTTGGTCAAGAAAGCTGCCAGGTCATTGGTAAACAAAGCAGATACTTCCTTTGGAAACCAAAGATGCCAGCTCACCCCAGAGCTGTAGATGTGCTGGATCCCCATTTTCCATGTGAGCAGATTCATGAGTAAGAATCACCCTGTAGGACTTCTGCGAAATGCTGACCTCACCCAGACACTGATTTCTGTGGGGGTGGAGTGAATCTATCAAATTCTTGTAAGACTTATATCATGATGCTTATTCTGTCTTTAGTGCAGTCATCTTGTCTTTGGAACAGCAATGCTCTCCAAAACCTTTGTCACAAATGGCTGATAAATCCTCCTATTCCTGTCATCGCATTTTGAATTACGGTCTCAAAAATCAAACTGGTGTTTCAGAAATGCCATCAGGTACCATCTCAGCATTTTCAACTTTATTCTTCCTGACTTTTTTGCTTCAGGACTGTTCTTTGCACCCAACCCCAAACTACAAGCAGCACTGGCTGCCCTTAAATTGTATTCCTTAAGAAATAATTTGTTTGCCAAAGGAAATTTGCCCAGTTGCAGTAGGTACGCAAGTGCATAGCATTCTTTTTTTTCTCCTGTGCATTACAAACAGTAGGTTTGCAGTAACAGCAGGGGAGTGTCTATCAAATAATTACACAAATAAGTAGGAGTTTTGAGAAAAGCCCAGTGCAGGGAATTCCAAATAGCTGATGAAAAGCATTGTCAGATATCAGGAGTCATCATGTATTTCACTTAATGCAGCTCTCCCAGGCAAATGTTGCAGAATTCAGCATCAAATTATCCAGTGAAGCAAATTCATTCAAGGAGCAACAAAGCTCACCCAGGGATAGTTCTTGCCTGCTATTGCTGAAATAGCTCTTCAGTTCCATTTGGCAGAGCAAAATCCCCAAATCTACATGAAGCCACTCAGCACTAATAAACTTCTTTCTTCACTGCAAACCAGCTTCCTGGCTTGTCATCTCCCTCCAGCTGCCTCTGGAGAGACTAAACATTTGCAGAATATTTCTAAATATATTTAATTATTGCATGTATTCAATCTGGACAGATTAATGTTTCATGGATAAGTAAACAAGATTAATGTTTTGTGGATAAGTAAACATCTGATGTAATAGATAGTGACACTTAAAACTATAGGGTGCAATTCTTTACTTAATTTGTGTCTCTATGCAGAGCAAATCCACACACGTTGGGTTAAATAGTATGATTATAGGGCCAGATCCACAAAGGATTTGGGGTTCTCATTGAAACCTATGGAAAGTTAGCAGCTTGTGCAGCAATTGAGAACTTAAATATCTGAGCAAATGTAGCCCTGAGAAAAGGGCAGTCAATGAACAGAGGAAATTTCAGATAAGAAAAGTTTCCCAAGCAGATCCAAGCAGTTACGAGACAATTTTTCAGAAGTTGTCGCTGTGTCTCTCATTAATTTCTCCTGTTCTCCGTTGTATTGACTTGCAGTATTTCCACAGTGACATGAAAAGTGAACAGACTCAAAGTAACTTATTTTTGTCTGATGATTTCAGTGAAGGATATGATTAAACACTTTCTAATTTCCTGAAATACTTAAAAATGCTATTTTTTCACATGAAAGCTTAACCAAGAATGTAATTTATCTGGCTGAATAGTGAAGGTCTTACAGTGATTTTTGATTTTGGCAGGTTGCTTTGCTGCCAAATAATGCTGCTGATCTTAGCAAGCAAATCACTGGTGAGAAAGTGCTTGCATCTAATGCATATATCCCTGGTCCCCCAGGCCAGCCTGGCCAACAAGGCCCTCCAGGTAAGATACAGACCAGAGGGATGTGAATATAGAATCATAGATGCAATGGTGCTGGAAATAAAACTAAGCTTTAGTCTTTCAGTGTGATAGCATTTCATGTGTTTCATACTTTGATTGATACTATTATGTTTGAATTTATGATGAATTTAAAAAGAAAAACTTTTTGGTCATTATGGTCAGCCTCTGCCACCTATTTAACATCATCCATTGTGTCTTAGTCTCCATGTGTTTCTTGGCATGCAAGCTGTGTTTGTCCTGTATGTGTTTAATTTCTGCCTCTCACTGAGATATCTCACCTGCTTTAGTTGTCACTTCCTGTATTTTAACCCTGTATTAAAACACTCTCCATTTCATTTCAGGAATATCTATTGCTTTCTCTCACTGTCATTAATAGAGCAGAAAATGTGCTTTCAGTTTTTGGGGGTTTGTGCCAACTGTTCTATTTTTCCTCATCTGGTTTTGCAAGGATTCATCAGTTGGGTTTATGTTGTGTTCTAGATTCGAAGGAATCTGAAAAGTGTAACTCCACTCACACCTTCTTTGCTAAGGTATAGATTGGAACCATCTGAAAACCAGAGAGATCCTCAAGTTCTAATTTAAGCCAGACACCGGCAGCCAGTGATGCTAAAATTTTTGCAGATTCTACTGAATGCAGATCTAATTTTGGCTTAGCAAGATTCCAAGGAATTTTAGATTGTGGTGGGTTTGAGAAAGATTCTTACAGATGAGTAGCAGATATTCCTTATAAGGATTAATTTACTCCCTACTGAACTGCCCTTCCCCATACCCCTCATTTATCCCCCACTTATGCAGTCTTGCTTTATTTTTTGAGTCTTTATCTCATTTTCTTGGAGGATGAGTATCTTCAGTCTTCAGTATAAGTGCAAGGACAGTATGGTTAGAGGTTCTGCGTCAGACTCTGAAGGGTACAGTACGTCGCCTTGCAATCCCTCCAAGGTAGGCCTGACCCTGCAGGTCTCCCACCCACCGGGTTTCCCCATGACTGAGCTGTCCGAGGTACTCTAGAACTCTGCTCCCCCTAAAACCATCCCTGCTCACCTCCTGCACTGCCGGGCCAGGAGGAGTCGCAGGGAGTTGTCACTGAACTTGAGTTGTCTCCTTTTGAAAATCCTAACTGTACAAAGTCTGTCCTGCTGAGCCCTTTTTGCTCTCTGCCTTTTGTTCTTTATGTCTTTCATGTGCCTGCAGTATGAAGAAAAGTGCTTTCCCCTCTAATCAAAGTGTTTCAGCTAGTGAGACTTTACTGGTCTTTATTCTGTCCAAATGTTGTTTCAGGTTCCTGATTTTCTGGTTTACACTTCAAAGCATTTCTCTTGAGCTAGACATAACTTTTTTGCCTGTGTGCTTCTTTAAAACTAACATGCTTTGCTGAACCAGCAGAAGCTGAAAAGGATGTAAAACAAAATGGAAGAACAAAGCCTTTTTTGCCCCTAACACATTGACTACTGTACTTGGGTAGAAGAGAGGTGCAGTCCACCACTGGAAAGGGCTAGCTTGTGCCAGTCATGTAGACGCCCTCAACCCAAAATTCCCGTGGGTTTCTGAGGCTTTCTTTATATGAGACATTCCTGAAATGTGACTTGTTCTTCTTTGTGTGAAAATGAGACATTTCTGCTTTTCTTTTCGTTCCCAGTCTGTGTCCCTAACCACCTGGCAGTGGCAGACTTAGATTCTTTGTATACATGATATTTAATTGTTTAGTGATCATCTTTTGTAGCTACTGTGACAAGGAGTAATGTTGTCTCAGATGGCTGTGGATGTGAAGATGCAGATGTGTTGGTTCTATTGTTGTGGATTTGGGTGTGTTAACTAGTCCATTGGGTCATTCAAAAGCTGGTCATTCCCTACTGCTTGCACTGATGAAGTGTCCTGAAGGCCTTCTCTGGCATGTAACCTTTGCTCTTGATTGCAGGGGCACCAGGACCAAAAGGAAGTCAAGGAGTTCCTGGGTTACCTGGACCTCCTGGACAGCCAGGCCCTCGTGGATCAATGGGACCTATGGGCCCTTCTCCAGACATATCACATATTAAGCAGGGCAGACGGGGCCCCGTGGTCAGTATTGTTATCTCCCATCAAGCACTGCCCAATTTGCCTTAGCTCCATAACTTCTCACATCCTTGTGTACACTTTCTTTTATCTTGCAGGGCCCACCTGGAGCCCCCGGGAGAGATGGTAGCAAGGTGAGGAGAGGTACTGATTTCCCTGAGATGGGCACATGCACATGTGAAGTGCAGACTTGCTACAGGGACTCTCTACACACTTGTCATACCCCTTTACCATCTCTTTTCCTTTGCTAAGATGAAAACACCCTGTTGTCCCAACCCTTGATGTCATCCTTCTACTATTTTGTGTTTGCCATTCCTAAAGTCTTGCAAATAGTCCCACCAGGTTATCTGTCATGCAGCCTTCTTTCCTTTCTCTGCAGCTATTTTGGCTTTTGCATGAAGAAACATTGATGCTTTAGCCCAGTTCATTAGATTGTTCTTTTGTTAATTCCTCCTGTACACTTCTATTTGCTTGTTACTGTCCAGGAGAAATGTCAGAAGTGCCCAACTCTGCTCCCACGAGAATCAGCAGCAATTTCCTTGCATTCCTCCTTCACTTTCTTTTCTTCTTCCTAACAAGCATCAGCTGATGATTCTTGATCTGGGGACAGTAAATAAGGGAGACTGCAGAGGCAAACAGTGATTTTTCTTCCTTTCCTTTAGTCACAGCAAACTAACTGAGGTGGTATTGATTACAGGGGGAGCGAGGCGCACCAGGACCAAAGGGGATACCAGTAAGTATTCCTCACAGGAGGAATTTCCACAACAGAGTGATGTTTGACTATTAACAACAGGTCAGCCAACAGTTGAAAATAAAACTCTTGTGTCAAGAGCACAGACACTTTACCTACACAGAAAATGTTATTGGAAACAAAGTAATTACCTTCTTTCATCCAAGTGTTTTTGCCCCATGCCTCTTCCCTTGTTGGGTGTGAGACTGAAGACAGTAGGTACACCTCTGCCCTACCATGGTGCTTGTATATCCTCAGAGGTCAGAGACACAAGATCCCATGTAGAGCTTGTACATTTCAACCTTCCCTCTGGGCATTTCATCCCTGGAGCCTTTTTAAATCCTGCCCTTAATCTCTTTGAGACATGTGAATCTGTAGGCTCTGAGTCAGTCATCAGAAGAATCCATTGACAATCTGTTTTCAAGGTGAAATTGTTTAAAAGAAATAGGGTCCCCAGCACAGGAAGGACATCAGCCTAGTGGAGTGAGTCCAGAGGATGTCACTAAGTTGATTAGCGCGATGGAGGAGCTTTACTATGATGACAGGCTGAGAGAATTGGGATTGTTCAGCATGGAAAAGAGAAGGCTTTGGGGGGAACCTATTTGTGGCCTTTCAGTGCCTGAAAGGAGCCTACAGGGAAAATGGAGAGAGACTATTTACAAGGGCATGGAATGACAGCATAAGGGGAGCTTAAAGTGAAAGGGAGTAGGTTTAGGTTAGATATTAGGAACAAATTCTTTGCTGTGAGTGTGGTGAGGCACTGGCACAGGTTGCCCAGAGAGGTTCTGTATGCCACATCTCTGAAAGTGTTCAAGACAAGGTTGGATGGGGCTTTGTGCAAGCTGGTCTAGAGAAAAGTGTCTCTGGCCACAGCAGGGGGGTTGGAATTAGATGACCTTTAAGGTTCCTTCCAACCCAAACCATTCTATGATTCTAGGAATTTATTTCTTACAGTATTTTGTCATTGGTGGAGTTGATTTTTAAGCATGTGCCCAGCAGGGTGTCCCCAGTATTGAACAGTTTACTGTGTGAAGCCAGCTAAAAAGAAACAATGATTTTCTAAAATCAGATACTTTCTGCATTGTAATTACCAATACATTTAGTAAGTGATGGACAACAGTAAGGTCACCATACTGAAAAGATACTCTCCAAATAACAGCAGTCTTAAAAAGATGTATTGATTAATCATTCCAAGACTGTAATTTCTGTCAGTTTAATAATAAAGAAGACAGGGAACCAAGATTTATTTCCTCTGTTCCCATGAGGTGTCAGGATGCCCTTAGGAAGCAGATACAGTAAAGGAATTGTTAAGTGGCAAAAGGGCTAGGAATCTTGTAAATGTAGGCTCTGTCTATAAAAACATTTGATTCTTTTGAAAATTGTTTCCTGAGCAAGTTGATTAAAAACCAGAGCATTACCTTCGGCAGTTGGTATGAAGCAGTATTTTACTGAACTACCCCTGCAAGAGTAATTCTATCAACCAGTTTGAAAACTCTGAGAGCAAGGTGGATTGTTATTTATGACTGTGCCTTGTGACTGCAGGGCCCACCAGGTTCATTTGATTTCCTATTGCTGATGATGGCAGACATCAGAAATGACATCGCTGAGCTGCAAGAGAGAGTGTTTGGACACAGGACTCATTCATCAACAGAGGAGTTTCCATTACCTCAGGAATTTACAAACTATCATGACACAGTAGATTTTGGATCTGGAGAAGACTACAAACCACGGGCAGCACCCAGAAATTCCAGGATACAGAAGGCAGCCCATCCTTAGCTATGCCCACTGAAACATAAAGCCCCTTTAGAATTCTTCAGTATAAAAATGCACTGACAATGTAATATA